ATGATGGCACCTACAGGGTCCATACACAGACACCTTCACAGCCCGGCAACCCCCAGTGCTGGGACCGCGGGGGTCTGGGTGCTGGTGGTGCGTGGTGAGAGCAGATGCCCTCTGAGGAGCCACCCACAAGAACACGGTGCTGTGGAAGTGCCCACGCGCCCTCCGTGGGGAAGGTGAGGGGCTGTTAAACACCAGCAATCGTGGTACCCCAGACCCACCAGGTCCAGCACCCCATGCCTGTGACCCCATGGACCCGAACGTACCCTCAGCCAACACCACTCCCCACAGTCCCTCTGCTGCTGTCTGGGCACTGCTGATTTGGCTCTAACAGCACATGCTGTCCATGTGCAGAGCAGAGGGTGGAGAATAGCAATGGCCTTTCACAGAATTAGAGGAGAACTTCTGGCACTCTTTGAAACATCTGGAGCAAAACCTTTGGGTGAGTGGGGGTGGCTCCCAGGTGTGGGAGGATGGATAAGGAAACTGCTGGGGCCGGCACAGAGGGCTGGTTGGGTTTGCTGGTGTTGGTCGTTGTGTCTGTGAGGGTTCAGCTGATCTGACCTGGGACCAAACTAGGATGTGAGAGGCTGGAATGAGGCCTGGATTGGGCAGGCAAGGACCAGAGGAATGATGCTGAGTGCAGGAGGGGATGGGGAGAAAGAGGAGAGGAGGTGGAAAGGCTTGGAGTGGAGACTGTCAGTGGCTACACTGTCCATCCCCGAGCTGGGGTGATGGGAGACCCGGGACACAGTGGTGAGGGAGGGACTCCAAGATATGGGTGCCAGGAGCCCGTGACGCAGCTCCCGCAGTGGCACCGAGGTGCTGAGTCCCCCCGGCTCAGCAGTGCACTGTCAATGGCCGGTGAATGCACCGTCGGCACTGCCGGTGCCTCGGCTCGGGGGCACGGGCCAGCCCGACCCGGGCCATCANCTCACCCCGGGCTGGGGGTGGTTTGCCCCCCTTGGCTGCCGTCCTCCTGTGCTGTGCCACCACGGTGCAGCTCCCGTGGGCATTGGGGGCTCCCTGTGCCAGCCACACGGGAGCATCTCAAGGGCTGGGACTCCCCCCAGATTGCACAGCAAACCCCAACCAAGCCACGAGCACCCCTGGGGGCGGTTGGGGGTGAAATCTGCCAGGGGAAACAGAGGCAGGGGGGCTGAAAGCAGGAGAGCCTGAAGCCATGGCTCTTGCTGCCCGCTGCTGCCTCCGGGCATGATGCAAGGGGAGGGTCCCCGCTGACAGCCCCCCCCCAGCATTAACCCACCGGTCCCCATGTGCTGTCAAGTCCCCCAGAGAACTTCCCCCACCGGCCCCAAGAACACCCCAAACCCAGCCCGCCTCGGCAATGTGCCCAGCGGCATCCTTCGGAAAAACTCGCCCGCCGCCCGCAACGGCGGCACCGAGGCCGACGCGCAGATCCTGGAGCTCAACCAGCAGGTAGGGGCGACCCTGCCGGGGGGCTGGGGGACACCGCAGGGTTGGGGGAGGCCCTGAAGGCTCCGGCCATGTCCCTCTCCCACAGCTGATGGACCTGAAGCTGACGGTGGACGGGCTGGAGAAGGAGCGGGATTTCTACTTCAGCAAACTGCGGGACATCGAGCTCATCTGCCAGGAGCACGAGAACGAGAACAGCCCCATCATCACCGGCATCGTCAGCGTCCTCTACGCCACGGAGGTGAGCACTGGGCACCACAGGACCCCCGGGACCCCCGGCTCCTCATCCTGTTCTCTGGGCATCCCTGGGAGGGGACGGACCCCTTCCGCACGGCCGCTTCCCGCCTCCTTCGCTGCCCCGGGTGCTGGGGGGGTTTGGGCTTTGACAAAGCCCTGGTGCCATGCTGGGGGGGGGTCAGTGTGCCCACCTCTGCCACCCTCGTGCCAATGGCCACCATATCTCCCTCAGGAGGGCTTCGCTCCACCAGAGGATGACGAGCTGGAGGAGCAGCCGCCAGAGGACCAGGACGAGT